CGAAAAACTGGGAAATCAACTTATCAGAACAAAACTTCCATCTAAAAACTGAGGATCATGTAAGTTCGATTCGAAAATATTTTGATTGAATATTGAGTTTGTAGAAATTTTGGTTATACAAAGAATGGCAATGGACACAAACAGATGCCATGCATGACAAATATAAAGTTAAATAATACAACACTTTTGGACTTACGCAGTTATATTAAAGCGGGATGTAAATGTGACTTGAATGTTAACTCACAGAAAATTACACCGGAGATTTCGCTCTGAACCTAGTCAAAAAGAATTTTTAGAGCTGAAATTTTTGTGCGTCAGCAAGTCGTGAAATCGATACTTAAGTATGCAGAGATCAACCATAGTGGGCTGTCATTTTGATGTACGTGTCCTAGTTTTTTTCATAAAATATATATAAAAGTTATTTTTGAATATTTGTCAGTGTAAGCGTCTCAGACATTGATAATTCACCGTCTTATATCTTGATATTTCAAAAATTCTTGAAAGGAAAGACATCCACTTTCACTGGGCCCAAATTTCCATAGACGGATCCAGAATTTTGTAAATGAGAACATAAATACGTTGTGAAACTGGAAAGAATAAATACATTTGTCCCATAGGTGAGGAGAGGCAATAGAGAACAGCTCTCCATTTTTAGAGCTCTTCTCTATTCGATTGACACTCCTCAAGTGAATAGAGAACAGCTTTAAAAATGGAGAGGGGGGTATGTATGTCCACTTCATCCCTTTACGATCCGCCTATTATTTCAGACGGAAGCTTTTGTTTGACAACCTGCTTCCTTAAAGTTTTGGCATTAGCATATCTTATAACCCTTTTATACGAGTTTTCTGCCGAAAGTAAACATTTTTGTCATATATCCGCCCAAGTACAAAGCTGTTTATAAAAGTTTGTGGTTTGCCAGTTTAAATAGTTTTAGCGAATACGTAAATCTTGAAATAGTTAAAAAATATATAAGTGCTTTGTAAAAGAATAGTATATAACAGTGTTTCCCAAAGTTTCCGCAGATTAGTCCGAAAACAAAGACGGGGGAATTAATTTTAACTCTAAATAAACAATAAGCTGATAAAAATCATGTCGAATTAATTAAATGATACAGTAGTCGAAAGGAGATGATATTTGTTTTTACTATGGCATTGTTTTTCAATCACAGTGCTAAAGTTATAGGTTGGGGGGCCTCAAAATTTTTTTATTCACATCTAGGGATCCTCAGATTTTGGGTTTCATATGATTTGTTAAGAATTTCGCGCAAAACTACACGAGGGCTATCTGCGCTAGCCATCCCTCATTTAGCAGTGAAAGACTAGAGGGAAGGCAGCTAGTCATCACCACCCACCGCCAACTCTTGGGCTACTCTTTTACCAACGAATAGTGGGATTGACCGTCACATTATAATGCCTCTACGGCTAAAAGGCGAGCATGTTTGGTGAGACGGGGATTCGAACCCGTGACCTGCAATTGCTAGTCGAGCGCCCTAACTACCTGTCATGCCGGGCCCAAGAATTTGGGAATCACTGGTGTATAAACGCAGCTTTTGTTATTTATTTGTTAACCCTCAACTTAAATTTAATTTTGTACCGTTCACTACCAGTGAGATCAATATTGACTTCATGGATCTATGTTGAGCTCGACAGCGGTAATTCTACGGACTTACAACGCTGAAAACCGGGGTTTGATTCTTCGCTGTGGACATAACAGCCGAATGTAGATTTGGTCGAAAAAACAAACAAACAATGTTGACTCTATACATTTACATATGAGAAATAATTTTGTTTATAGTTTTCTAAATATTTTGTTTTTTTCATATTATTGCTTAGTTTGCTACACAATAATATGCAATATTATAAAGCTGCAAAAATTTAATTGAAGAATTAAAAAATGAAAGTAGTATGGAAATAGCAACATCAACAACTAAAAACTCAACAAATCGTTATAACCCATCAAACTGTCACTTAATATCTTGAAATTCTCTTTACACACAAAATTCTGCTATTTGTAATCTGATCTTGTAATTTTTGTCTACTACGGGGAGGGAGAACTTGCAATGAATATACTTTCTTGTAATGACAATTCTTGGTTTTGCGGCCTATCGGATTTTGTTGTACTTGGTCACCGTTTTTTTTTTTGTTAGTTCTTTTCCAGCATCTTCAGAAAAAGGCATTTTTTGTAATTTTCTTTTATTCCAATCGGTATCAAGATGATTCCACGAAAATAAAACAGCATTTGGTCAGCATACACGTAACAAATAGAAAATAACTACTGGTCATCCATTTACCTTCCTTTTAGACGACTAGCCTGTTAGCACTAGATCAGCAGTGTCCATTCCAGTTTTTGTACTGATGTAGTCTATAATCATTACGAGCTTTTTGGATCTTGTATTCTTGTCAATTTCCGGCTGATCGTGTACAGTATATAGTAGCATAACTATTCTTCCCTTATTCAGACAATATGAAGTTAGAGCAGTAAATTTACTGGATAATTCTGCGTGTCATTTCACGGAGATCATTTCAGATAGCAATCTGAAAGAGTCACATTTCTAAGCCCCCAGTAGCAGAGCGGTATGTATGCGGACTTACGATGCTAGAATCCGGGTTTCGATACCCGTGGTGGGCAGAACACAGATAGCCCATTGTGTAGCTTTGTGCTTAATTACAGATAAACAATAAACAAACTCATTTCTAGTGACTAACAGAGACCCGCAAAACATTTCCG